CGCTCCATTAGACTAGTGGTTAGAGCGTCCGCCTCAGATGCAGGAGGTCGCGGGTTCGAACCACGGTAGAGTCATACCAACGACTTTAAAAAATGATACTAACAGCTGTTTTGCTTGGCGCTTAGCATTAAGAGGTTAGTGTTAGGACTTTTCGGCCTGGTGTCAGGATAATGTGAATGAGTGGGACATCATGCTACATGTCTACGGCATGATACTCTAGTGCTAGAACTCACAGTAAACTGTCACACTGCAGCGATATGACTGAAAAATGGTAAAGCTACGTTAAAAATCTAAATCACACACATAAGTTAAGATTAGTTTTTAGTCGTGCAGTGTCTCATGAGAAAAAGTATGTTATTATTATTATTATTATTATTAGTAGTAGTAGTAGTAGTAGTAGTAGTAGTAGTAGTAGTAGTAGTAGTAGTAGTAGTATATACCCGTGTGAGATAATATGCAACGACTACTTATTTTCTGCCATGTGAAACATTCTTGGATCGGATGAATGTCCGATGCAAAGACTACTGAGCACTGTCAATGCTCTTATCCGTGTCTAGTGACTGACGAACATTTATATCAGTTATATGAAATGGCATATAATACTTATTTGTTTTAAGACATATTCTGGTGGATAATCAGCAGGTCATATTTATTACCCGCCTTCGTGGTCAATACAAATTAATATTTATTTATGCATGTGTCTGTATTCACATTCCTTCATTGCATGCTGTTTTTTATTCTGTATTTTCTACATTGTTATATGAAGGACTAATTGGTTTAAGCACAAAAGGACATTAGAGGATAAATAGATACATATGCGTGGTGCATGCGTATTCGACATTTTCTAAACCAATTTAGCTTGGAGACGAATTGTCTCCCTTTAATTAAATTGACCTGACCAAAACAACACCACCGACAAACACAAAAACAAACAAACACCAGTTCGAATAGACACCACATATTGCACGTGGGACGTGCGACACGTGTCGTTAATTCAAAAGAGAGAACGAGCGACAAGAACTAGACAAGATTATATACTTTGGAGTGAGAGCTTAGCTCTCATCTAATTATTTTGACCACCTGTACAAATTTAAAATAAAAAATGTAATTAAGTTTTTAAATCCCTGATAATCTATTACTGAAAAAAATCGAAAGTAACCAAGATGTGTTGTTGTATGAACCCCGTTTTCACAGTCTTGGCTATATATTGGGGAAAAATAATAATTGTTATGGAGTTAGACGTGACGAGTTTACCAACATTTTATTCCAGCCCTTCAGTCTTATCAAATTCGAACTTGCTGCGTATGCTGATCCTATGAGAACTGTACTAATCAAATAAGTAAATGTTATTTCAAGTGTCCGAATAGTGGAAAATAATACTATTTCAGCAATGGGTGTCTCCTGATTGCTACGTCATTGTTAGTCAGTCAATCACGTTGATGAGACCTACATACATTTACCCCATTATTTCTACTAAGCATCTTTGTAATTAATATTCTAAGCTTGCTTTTGACATCTATACCACCCACGGGCATATTCAAACATACCTTGAAGGAGAAAGATGACAGTGATAGCGATAAACGTTTTCATGTTGCCGACCGGAGATCTATTCTGTTGTTGGAACAGCGTCAGGACTAAACTCAAAATCTCTTATCGCTCAGTACGCTCTAAATATAGCACATCTCAGACATCCAGTCACGATCAAGCTTTACCAAAGGTTATCGACGGAAACAAGGAAAATGTGGTTTAACTTCTTTATAGACATTTACTCAGGACAAACAATGCATTCATTTATATTTTGATATCTCTCTCTCACATACACACACAGACACAGACACAGACACATACATACACACAGACATACATACACACACTAAAGCTACCTATTTGCCAAATTATTTGCTGACCTATCTGCCTAACAAAAAGCCTGTCAGCAACCCCCTTCAGACAGATAAGGAGATGGTATCTTTCTGTATATATTCGACATTGTCTGAATTTATCTTTTCTAAAATAAAACCACGGTGAAAGGAATAAAGTACTTGGTAACTTGAAATCGCGGTCTACCTAGGTAGACGGATGTTTATCAAACTGACACTAATCCGGTGTTTGATCTGTGGACAAACGCCGCGAGCAAGAAGCCAAGCGAGTCGTAGTCGCCAAAAGGTTCTTTGTGCAAAACAGGGCATAGTAAATTACACCTGGGTGCTAATCCTTTAGTAGGACATCAAAAGAGCCATTGGTAATAAAATGGTAGACAACTTATATTGACAGTTCCGCTGATTTACAACTTGTGAATGGTTAGTCCACCGCATCCAATCAGAATTAAGCTAGTGGATTGGCATACCTCTAAGTTTCGAGGATATCAAACTGACTCCATCCCAGAATTATTTAGTAGACCGAGGCAGATTACTAGGTGATTGAACGATTAAGGCTACTCTGAGATACACACTCGTAAATTTGGCGTGAATCGCAGGAAAAGAGATTGTGAACAAAGAAAGCTTCAAGAAGGTGATTTTTGACTCATACATTGCAACGCCGTAACTCTAAGTACTAATATTATGTTTACGCAATTACTAATAGTATTGTTAGAATGAAGAATTACTTTGTAGAGTTTCATTTGTGTACTTTTTTGAGATTTGTATTGAAGTTAGGAAATGATTGATGTAAGCCAGATTATGAATGTATGTTTGAATATGTTCAGAGCATAGATAGTTGCATATTTATATATTTGTATGATTTGTGATGCAAAATAGATGTGTTGGTTATGATGTTCTGATGTGAATCAATTATCGTTGCCTGTATACGAGTAATTGATATAATGCTTTATGATGTGTTATTATGTTATGATTTTACATTGTGTTTACCATTCATGAATGTATGAGTATTTCGGTGGGAATGGATGCGTGACCCATGAAATTTGATAGCCTTATCTGATGATAAGTTATCCGGGTAGTGTGAGAGTTTGTGCCAAGCAAAATAGTACACCCTCCTTGTGTTTTACAGGAAGCTTTCCGGGTGGGATAACTTCAGTTAGAAGGAGAGTCCCGAGAGTCTGAGAGAGAAGACTGAAGTAAGACTGTCGGTACAGTCAGGGTCGACGGATTGGAGTCGACGGTTCGACGAGGGAGTCGACGGAATGGGAAGTGGAGGTGGAGAGGAAATTCGAAGGAGCAAAGGAGGAGTAGAAGTGGAGAGAAACTTCGAAGGAGTAAAGGAGGAGTGCAGAGAAATTTAGAGAGACAGATGATTAGAACCAAGGACCGGGCGAAATTCTCACACTGATTCAGATGATGAAATAGGCACAAAAGGGTCGAGCAATTGGGAAGCTCGCATGTTAAAATTTTATTATTAATTAAATTGTTTTATTTAATTCCACCCCTTTGTACTTTTGTATTTAACTGTTTAATTTCACCCTTTAGTACTTTTGGATTTAACTATCGGCATTGCTGACTGGGGGCTCAGAACCATATTCACCTACAAAACTTCTGAACCAGAATCGAGCCTGGGTGGGTGCCATACCTAAATAAATATTGGAAACACCCCACCCCATTTTGATATAACCAAAACCATACACGGGTATAAAAATAATTAATTAAACCCCATAACACTCTAGATGTAACTAAAACCTATCGTAACACTTGATATTGTGCTGTCTGTAATTATGTTCTTACCATTGTACATTAAACCATAAAGAAAGCGAATTGTGATATTCAAATATAATATTTTTGAGAAATGTTTTGAAAATAATATCATTTTTTATGTCAAAGTTATTTGTTAATTTATTCATTTTAGAATCAACATATAACTTTGACATTATCTTGGAGGCTCTCAAATTAATCTTTTATTGAGAAAATTTTAGTATTCAGTGGCAGACTTTGCTAGTATCATTTTGGCATCAAACAGGTAGTAATCGACAAGATTCCATTTGGGCAAACTCAGATAAAATGTACGATTATTTGCAAGACCAGCGGTTGTACCGTCATTAGCGGCGACCAGTTTGTATGGAATCGAAATGATACGCAACTTTTATCGGTTGTTAGTGTAGTACCAGGATATAAATATCATCAACCAAATGAAATACAACCTTCTGGTTAAAACAATGGAGTGCATTTGACAATCAATACGAATGCTTTTGCAACGCGTTTAGTTGCATACAAACTCTAAAAAGCTGCAGAAGCACAGAAAAAGACAACAACCTGTGCATGACAAACATTAATGGCAGCCAGTCAGGCTACATACCAGTTGTCGCCGCTCTAAAGTACCACCAGTTGATTTTTGTTTATGGAACAGCAACGAAGTAGAAGATGGATAACGGCTATGTCGCATAGGACGGTGGAGACAGCAATATCGTTGCGTATTTCATGCTGGACAAATTGCAATGCTTCACAATGGCTGGCATAGAGCATCATCACTACAGTATTTGGATGCATGTTTTGGCAATTGTAAGCGTACAAAGTCTAACGAAGACTTCAATAGAACCAGTAAGGCGAGCCTTTCTCACCAGTAGTTAGTTAATCAGAAGATCTGAATATGGGCCGCTTAAATAGATCTTTCGAAAATGATAACATGTTTCCGTTGATGCACCATTATGAAAAGAGCAAACTAGATCATGTCATGGGAGGGGAAGGAATGGCCTCTAAATGATTCCAAACGATACTGTCAATTACGAAAATTACAAAAGCGAAACGAGACTAGTACTTAAATCTAGATACTAACATGTTTTTGTTTTTACAAGACAACACAGCACGAGCAATGTCAGCATGGAAAAAGCTCAAACACAGCAGATGCATCAAAAAAAGAAACAAAGCTCGGTCAGTTTTGAGCCGCAGGTGTAACGACGTGTTAGAAAATGGCAAGGAAATTGAAATAATTCGACCATGACAACAAAACAATATCATTAGTCGTCATCTGTATTGCATCGGAGCTTTCGACCGTCATGTTTATCTGCTCATACACAATATCCTAGCTCTCGTGGTGCTGTCTACGTCTGTTGATTTGAGTGATATAAAGTAGCAGAGATCGCGACTGTAACTACTGTCAAGTGTCAATATATGCTTTGCAAGCAACCAACAAC